AGTGAAGACTAGATGTGAAATGTGACTACAGTGTCCTTCACTGTTCCAAATGTTTGGTGTTGAATAATGTCTAGGAAAGTGTTTTTGTTGAACATTATTATGACACCCATAAGATGAACTTTGAGCTTTTGGATATGAAATTTCATCACCTTTTAGGCATTAGTTTAAGAAATAATAGCACAAGAATTCACACGAGAAAAAAATAGTTTTTGGAGTTGAGTGATCTAATTCTCCTTTTTCCTCAAGTCCAAGTGAAACATACACTATACAGACAAAAAGAAGACTGAAAAGAAGAGGCCAAAAGTATTGGCCAACACCCCTCATGCTTTGAACTCTGGTGTTTTCAGTCGCATTGCTACAGGTGTATAAAGTCGCGTGCCGTGACGCTGTAATAAAATACAATCACTGCAACAAGTCAGTTCATGTAATTTCATAGTCCATGTTCAACTGTAAATGCCATTACTGCAAAGTAGAAGTGTTTAGGAACCACAGCACAGACCATGTAAAGTTACAGAGCAGGGTCACTGCAGAGGCACACAGTGCATAAAATGCTCTGCTGACTCACAACCTGCAGATTTTAAACCTCCTCTGGCGTTAATATCAACACAAAAACAGTTGCTTTCCACAGCTGAGCAGCTCCTGTAGCTGTAACGTGTAGGTGGTACTTAGTCACAGTGATGTTTGACCACAAACTAAAAGCCATGGTTATCAGACATTAACTAAAGTGTGATCACAATCATTACACATTTAAAACCCTTCACAGGATGCCTACAGTTATAAAAAATACCAAAACTGTTTAAAATTGTACATGAAAAGTGGTAGTGGTGTCCAATAGATGCTTTTAGCATTTTAGCATCTGGATAAAACACTAAATACTAAGAGAAGCAGTGTAAATACCCTGATGTACTGACCTTAAAACAGTATTTACACCCAACAGTTGATGTAGCTCTAGACCTATGCTATGCCCGAACTGATTTAAGTGGATGAGATGTTAAGAATTACTTAGTCAAACTGGTGTAACAGTTCATTCAAAACCTAAAAAGTAAGAGTACTCAAAAAAGTAAGTATAAGTCAGCAAGATGATGACAACAAGCAAGGTAGGAACAAAAGACGAATAAAATGAAAGGGGGGAAACCTTAAGGCATTAAAGCTTAAACAACACATCCATGACAGGTTATTTTAATCACGTAAAGCTCTAAATAGGACAGTTTACTGGAAAAAAAAATACCAGCATAAATGTGACTTTTTATTAATCACCAATGGAAACTATAGTAATTTACTGTATCTACACATTTCATATGTTCAGACAAGACCTTAGCTTAAATAAAAGATATTTTAATAAACATAAACTTACAAAACACGAACAGAGAAAGTTCATGACGCGGGATGGAGCCAAAAAGAGTCCAACATTATGTCCTCATCATCTTAGAGCCTAAGAACCCTCAGATGAGCTGCACCAGCTGATGACCCCCCTTAATTTTTAGCATGACGATCGACAAGGAAACACTCCCAGTACAGATGGGATGAGTGTCATATATTCACTAATAATTTGGTGATAAATATAAACAGTGTTTTACTTTACACATTAACACTTCAGCTTTACTTGTGCACTGAGTGCTCCAGGTAAGGAAAGGTTAGGCTGAGGTCAGTGTGGCCAGACATGCTCCATCTACAGCCTTGGTAAGATAACAGATTCTCTGTGAGCCTGAACGCCACTGAGGCAGAAACAGACATATAAACTACTGCAGCGTAAAGTAAAGGGTCATCCTGGCCAACTACTACAACACTGGAGGCGATAGGCTTGGCATGGTGGCGGATGGAGGTGGCAGAAATGTGTGAGTTCAAGTGTGTGCGTACAAAAAGAAGAAAAACTTATCCCATGAGTGGATCCTCCAGGGCAGAGGATGTGTGTTTCCATGAATTTAAAACACAGTATATGGGGAAATATGTATATATGTGTGTGTGTGTGTGTGTGTGTGTGTTGTGAGCCTTACCCTTTAGGTGGATCTTATTTTCCGGGCTGTGCACCAACACCGAGCTAACTGAATCCAAGCTGTCGTAGTTACTGCAGCCGAGAGGGCCTGTCCTTGTTTCGGTTACCTAGGAAATAGAGGAGGGATAGCTCTGTTTACTTCAACAGCTACCTCATCCACTAAATAGTGGATGAGGTAGCTGTTTGTTTCTCTTTCTGGCAGTCATGTACACAGCTGTAGCAGGTGAAGTGTGTGAAGGCAGGCAGAATACTGGATGTGGCAGAGCCCTCTGACAGCAGAGAAACTGTCACCATCTTTGGCTTCACTCATACCCCTGCAGACACAGCTGTGTGCAACGTGAGGGCGTTCTTCAAAGAATGGTGGAAAATATGTGAAGAAAAGTAAAAAGTTAACAGATGCAGATACGTGTGAAGGACTCACAAAATCAAATATTGAAAGGTAGGCTGTTAAGCAGCTGTTTTTAGTAGAGGCAATAAGCATGGCAATGACCACTTTTACATGTTAGTGTTCTTAAATCATCAAAATCTGCAAATTTCTTAAATATATTTGTTGATTTTTGTTGTTCCATTGAATTATTACAAATGCATCTCACTTAAAATGTTCATATAATCTGCTGATTTGTTTGAGCCTATGTTTTTATCACAGCGTCACAGACATGATTGCTTTGCCCAAACCCCACAAATTTAACAATATGTCTGTAATTCTACTTCATTATTAATTTAAGATACTTTGTGGTATGTATTTAAGAATATTTACCATGTAGTCTCTCTTGTTATTAGGGTTTAAAAACATATTTCTATTCACAAGTTAAAATAAATAAATACATATAATATCTTGGCTTTAGAATAACTGTGAAACACATTTCCCTTAAGATTCAAGGCAGCAGGCTTTAGACAGCTGTAATGTTTAAGTGTGACCAATGATAATGCTGCATCTGTTACAGCAGCAAAACACTCAAGACATAACATGCAAGAACTGTCATTTTAAGCAAACCTTGGAGCGGTTTAAATACAAGGCACTGGTAGTGCTCCACCCTCTCCACCCGTCTTATTCTGTGGCTGTAAAATGGCCATTCATAAACCAAATGCTAACATCACCTTCCAACATAAGATACTTTTGCTACACTACAAGAAATTAAGAATCTAGAATCATGCCCTTCCTTTTTTATATTATCTTTATGCACCACTTCACACAACCTTACACTCTGTCGAGACAATAAAGACAACTGTTACTGATGCAAACATCATTTTTTTAAAATCGCTTATATAAGATGTAGATAAAGAAATACTCTCCAGTGTGTATTGTATTTGATTCAAAGATTTCTTTAAAATGCTAGCAGCATCAAAGTACAGGTATCGTGCATCGAAGTCAGATGCTTAGATAGAAGTTCTAACTGGTCATTTCTAGATCCAGCATCTCCTTAGCAGTAAAAGTATAGTTTCATCTTAAAAACTATGGATTAATCTCCTTCACGTAAGCCTTTGTTGTAAACTAATTACACTCATGTAGTGGTCAATCAAAGATAAGCTAGTGGCTATTTCCTGGCTATTGACAATTCCAGCACACTGTAAAAAAAACAAACAAAACAAAATCCCCTTCTTTTGGTATGAATATACAACATCATCACTGAACAAAAATATTATATATATGATTGCAAGTGATGATGACAAGTGATCATACAATACAAAGCTAGCTAGCTGCGCTGGAGTACCAGTGCAACAATCACAGAACTGAACTGAAAATTTCTTCCTTACAACATGCAAAAAAAGTAAATTGTAATAGTACAATTTAGTAATATATAAATTGAAGCTGAATATTTGTGGTTTTGAAAGAGATGTAATGGAATTTATGATATGTTGACAATATTGTTCTTGTGACATGAACAGAGGGTGAAGAGAAAAGGTGCACACAGAGCAATGAGTGTAAACAGAAAAAAGTCACATAAGCGTGACAGATGGAACAAAAGGGATAAGACACAAGAAAGAAAAGAAAATACTGTAAAAAATTAAGCAAACATTATTTTGCAGATATCGCACACAGTTCATTTTCCCAAGCAGTTGTTCAAAATAGAACGTAACAATATGGACATGTCCTCTGGCAAAACCATTCTGCAGCTAAATCAGGCCATTTGGCAAATAAGGTAGCCTGTGCAAATTTGCTGTCCTTAACACAGCCCTGCGCCTTATATCTCCACACTCTGCCTTGCATTAAGATTGGATCTAATATCAAAAGAAATAGAAGTTACCCTTGAAGGCGCTACAGGAGATACACATCTCAAACATCACTCAAATAACCAACTAAAAAAA